AGGCTGAGAGGTGATCTCCTGGCAGCCTACAACTTCCTCAAGGGAGGGAAGTGGAGGAGGAGGTGCTGATTTCCTCTCCCTGGTGACTGGGAGTAGGATATGAGGAGATAGAATGACACTGGTTCAAGGTAAGTTTACGTTGAGCATTAGCAAAAGGTTTTTAACTGGAACAGGCTCCCCAGGGAAGTGTCACAGCACCAAGCCTGCCAGAGCTCAAGGAGCCTCTGGACAAAGCTCTTGGTCGTATGGATTAGTTGTGAGAAGCAGGGAGTTGGACTCCATGATCCACATGGGTCCCTTCCAACTTTAGGTATTCTATGGCTCTGTGATCCTATACTTACCTTTTGTGGAAGTTTTAACCCTCTCAGTTCAGTGCATACAGAGATAAATATAATAAAAGGATTGTGTAAATCTGCTTCAATATAGCACTTTCTTTTGTAAACAAAATATTTGGCCTCTCCTGAACTGAGAGTAGTTTGGTAGCTCATCTTGTGTAAGCCCACAACAAAAATCTGTCTAGGTTGTTGTTCTGAGAGTAGCAGTTCTGTAGGAAAGAGTGTTTGAGGCAAGCATGTAAATATACTTCTCCTGTGTGGCCTCCACAGCCTGCTCCTGATCTTCAGGTTGCAATTTTGAATATAAGAATCCTGGATGGATTTTTCTTCTACTTTGTGAATCCTGTATAAACTTCTGGCATCCACAGTATTACATGGAAAGCAATTCTGCACTTAAGTTTGGTTTGTAACAAGGAAGTATATGCTGTCATTTATTTTTAACGTGTGACTTCATAATTTATTTGATGCCCCTATTAGGAAAGACCAGTTGTTTCTTACTCAGTTTCCCGTGGTCACACCATTGCATAGTTGTCTGTCCTGTCCCTCATCAGTTGTCCAGTTTTGAGGATAAAGGGTCCTATTTATTTATTTATTCATTCTTCACACAGTTGTTGTTCCACAGCTTTAATCTTCTTTGTCACGTCTTTGAATCTTGTATGGTTTTTCTGTGTCCAGTTTGTAACATGGGAACCAAAGTGCCATGAGAGGCACAACAAGGATGTAGGTAGTGGCACAGTGTTCCATTCTTTGCCAATTCTAATATTTGGTTTGCTTTTCTTGACAGCTGCAGGACATTACCTATTCATTGCAACTTCAGAAGCACTTCCCTAAACAGCAATAACTTGTTCAGAGCACATTCTTTTGTTTATGTGCAGTTAGGGTTGCCTTTTTCCCCCCATGTTCATTACTTTGCCGCTTGTTATTCTTAGGTTTGTGCATTAGCAAGATTTAATGCACTGAAAGAATGCTCACTTTTCTAAAAAAGGCCAGCATATTCTATAGTCATCATTCATAATGTCATTTATATACTTACAGTGGTAAATTTTCCAACATCTTGCCTGAAGAGTATGCTAACATTTTGATTGATGCTTTCTGAGCTTCTTGCATAGATTTTTCAGAATTGATGACATTGGCCTTCTGAAAATCAGGTGTCTTGAAGATGCAATTAGCTATTGCAAATTATTTAGGATTTTTCATTGTAATTTGAAATACATATGTGTATAGAAAGAATATATGATAATAAAACTAAAAGAACTAAGCTGAAGTTTCCATAAGGGGCAAAGGGCCAGGCTTCTAAAATATTTAGATAATAAACTACTTTTGTGGGTAGTGAGAGTTGGCCGCCTCAATTCCTTTAAAAATGTGATCTTGAAACCATTTTTCAGGCTGTCAAGACTAAGGATTTCTTGAACTGTGCCATAAACTCCAAAATCACTTACCAAGGACAACATTTTCTGAAAGACTTAGTTTTTTTTATAGAGATATAAAAGCTATTTGAATACTATTTAGTGACCTAGAACTCCAACCAAAACCCTAAAATCTTTACTTAAGTTCATTTTACCATTAAATATTTGAAAATAAATATTTGAATGAAAGGTCACTGCTTTCTTAACCAATAAAAGTTCTATCGTTTCCCAAGAGCCTACTTAAAAAAGAAATATAGCAACTGGTGAGGCTCTGAAATTGGGCTTCAGAAAACAGTGGATTCTGTTTGACAATAATAAAATTCATGGCAAAGTACGTGGGATTTTTCTTTCAAGGTAAAAAACAAAGCTTTAGTATTTCATTAGCCACTGATATACTGGTGATCAAATGACAAAAAAAAATGAATTGTCTAGCCTCTTTGCACAAACAAAAGCATCACATTTTTACATTAAAGTCTATCAGGAGGGTACACAGGCATAAGAAAGCAGACTTGATTACAGAGCTCAATGAAAGGCATCTGTTCTTTGGCTGCTTAATTAGTCCAGAGAGCTGTTGTTAGTGCCCAGTCAACCATAACAGAAAAAAAAAAGAAGAAAAAAGCTCCCCAGGAATCTAGAATAAATGCAGAAAAAAGCTGCTTAGATGCTATGGGAGTGAGTGTTTTATCTTAAAAAGGAAACAAAAAAGAATGTGACTTCTTCAGTCTGCCAAACCGGAAAAGGGATCCCTGTAAAATTCATATGGCAAGGGAGAAGACTGCCCAGGCATTTTGCGTTTCATCTGTGCTAGAAAAGCTGAAGAATGAAGACAGAGGCAGAAACTTAGCAGATGGACTGAAGAGAAGGAGGAAGTAGGTAGATGGAGGGGGAGGAATATCCAAGTTTAAGGTGCAAGTCATATCATAGGAAGAAAAGAACTCATATCAGGCAATATTTTTATTTATCATAGTTCTGTATCTGGTGTTTATGTAATGTAATAAACTGACACTACTGTAAGTATCCTTGTAGAGAGCATTCAAAAAAGCATCAGTCTGTTTTCTGTGGCTGATATATGTGATGAAAGTTGACCTATACTGTCTGGGAAGCAATGCACTTGTCTGAATAGTAGACAGTACATACATTTCTTTGACACAGGACAAGTGCTTGCAGTGGGTGAATTAACATGATTGACAGAGTTCTGTTTATAACATCTCAAAATGAGGTAGTTTATCCATTTCTCTTCAAGAAATTTTGCTGAAATATAATATTTCATTAAAAAACTTCAAGCTCTGATAAAAGCATTTCTTTGCTTAGGAGTTTGGTTTTGTTAACTGGACCAAATCAGGGGTTTTAAAAAGTATTTTATCTTCTTGAATCTTATTTTAAGTCTCATGCATGGCACTCTAAGGATATTTTGCAAAGTATATCTAAAAATACAATCTTTCATACTGTTTATTTGAAGTATTTTAAATAATTTATTTTATGTAATGCTATGGATTCACAGCTCAGCGATCAGAAATATATTACTGTGTTAAACCTTAAAATTAGAAATGCAGGCTCACCTCATTTTGTCTTTAGACCAAGTCTTCATATTGTAGTTTTGAGACATAGTGTTTAAAAAGCAAGGTTCTGGTTTTTTGACCTACCAGCTGTCTTTCGTTGTGCTTAAGAAAGTAGATGGCAAAGCTGAGTATTCTCAGTAGCAAAACTTATGACAGAATAATACATAACACAATGATGTTGAGAAATAAGCAGTAATAATCTATAAATTGTTTTGTATTTGCTATGGGCATCCCACGTGTGAGGATTTGTCTTCCAGAAGAGATTTTATGATGGTTATTTATGAAGTTTCTTTTGTTTTTATAGTAGTTTGATGGCTTTTTTAAGGTCAACTTCAGTACTTCTTGATCTAACATGAGCTGAGTCCTCCCTAATCTGTGTATGCATGCTCGAAACAAGTAGCCCCTTTTATAGCCTTATTAATCTGGGAATATTACACAAGTCTGATGTAGGCAGGAAAGTTGGGTGTGCGCAAATGTGCTTTTTGCAGAAAAAACAATTCCAAGTGTGAAGTTGAGTAATAAAATAGAAACTTTGCAGACTTCCATAAAAAACCAGAGAAATTGTGTCCTAGCATTTCTGTTCCAAACCTTCTTTTCTTATTTCCATTGGATGAATATTTGCCCCATTGTGTTGTGTGGAATTTACTCTTTTTAGAAATCTCTTGTTCTGCTTCCTATTGGGTCTCACATAGCCATCTCATGCATTCTCTTTTTAATTTCAGGGGCAAAAATCTGTCAGCTGTGTCTTTCAGATTCCTTAAACTGATTGAAAACTATCTCTTGAAAGATGCTACAAAATCAACATTGGTTTCTCTCCATCTTCTGTTGTCTCTTCTAGTGTGATTATAGTTGCCTTCTGGTAGTCATTGATAAAGTGTTATCAGTTGATACAATTAATATAAAACTCTTAAATTTTATGTCTTGAACTCCTATTTTATTTATGAAAGCTGATATTCAAGTTGTTTTGGATGCTTCTGGAGTATCTGTCTGACTCCGTTCTGGTTTCAGTAACAAACTGGTCTCCTGATCATCTCTGGTCAGTGCGCGTTATTTTTTTTTTTCTGAGCTCTCTCCTATAAAGAGCTTCAGGTTTCTTTTTGAGAGGGAACTTCTGCATAGTTGACACTTCAGTTTTCTATAGTATCTGAATATCAGGTCACATCATATAGAACTCTACTAAAGATAGCATAAAGACATGTTCATGCTGTGTCAGGCCATAGAAGTGGCTTGCTGGCCAGATGTGGACCTTTGTGAAAATAGTCAGCTCAGTCCAGACAGCTCTCAGCATGTGAATACATCAGGACCTGGGACTTCGTCCCTGTAGTGATCTAAGAGAGTTAGCAGTAGTAGCATTGACTATGGAGATCTTTCAATCCTATATTCCTAACTGGCAAAAGATACAGGCAATTATATGTCCAAATTTAGCAATTCTTAATACAGGTAGATGAGATCACATACAATACCTGTGTACAGAATGAGTCCACACTTAACTGTGACATTTTCCACTGGTAAAATGTAGTTCAAATTCTGATTTAAATACATCCATTGAATCATAGCACAGATCTTTGCACTTATATACAACAAATTGTTTATCCAATACATAAAAATAAATGGATGATACTGCATTGTTTTCCAGTAGAATTCTAAAAATTACCTCATGCATATGCAATGTACATAACTTAGTTTACTGTTTCATTAAGGTCTTGGCATTGACAACAGGACATCTTTACCGCAGAGCAATTCTTCTCCATGGGATGATACACTTTTCAATATATCCATGCATGCAGCAATACGACATGGAAAATGGAAGTTACTAACTGGATATCCAGGTAATGAAATAACTCTTTTTTGTACAGTGTGACATGTCTCTCATCTGCCACAAACAGTTTAATTCTGTTTCATGTGTTTTAATTTATTAGTAATTCTGCTAACTTCTTAGGTTTTTGACCATGCAAAAATCTAGAATGAGCGCTTCTGAAATCCAAACAGTATACTTTTTCATTTTCAAATATTTTGTCTACAGATTACTATAACTCTAGTGGAAAAACTGTCATAGAATATCTCAAGTTGGAAGGGACCAGTAACAATCATAGAATCCAAGAAGAAATTAATTGATGTGAAATAAAGAAACACAGAATTTTGAATCCCAGTGCTGCAGCTTTTTTTCTGCATAAATAGGACTCCTTTATAGGTAGCCTTGGACTTGAGAGACTCTGATGCAGGGCTAGAGTTAAGGAGTGCAGCAACAGTCCCTGCCCAGGGACTTGTCAAGAGACAAGTCATTACAGCATAGCTCTATGTCTCCACACTGCTGCTCCATGTCTGAGAAATGACCCTTGGTCTGTTTCTGTTTCTTCAGGCTGTGGTCATTGGTTCCCTCCACCATCTTTGTTCAATGAGTCTGAGATTCAGTCATCTGATTCATCAATGAAGAGACTTTGGTTGTTTGATATTGTTCATGATCCTGAAGAGAGAAATGATTTGTCTGAAAAACATCCTGATGTGGTGGAAAAACTGCTCTCACGGCTTCAGTATTATCATAAACGTTCAGTGCCTGTGTTCTACCCTGATGAAGATCCCGGCTGTGATCCAGCAGCAACTGCAGCTTGGGGTCCTTGGGCATAGTGCAGCTTTGCATCCTGCAAAAAACAAACCCTAGTAGAGTCTGTATAAGGAGTCAGAGTCCTAGTTAAGTATATCTTACTTTCTTTGATGACCTATTGGTAATTGTGAACTTATCCCTTGAGTAATTTAGTATTTCTTACTCTTCATGGGTTTGGAATTTTTTCAGTCTTTTCTCACACTCTTGTTCCCAAAAATTGTGAGTGAAATGTTAGTAAAAGTATAAATCTATCTTTTTTTATATTCTTTGTCTGGAATATGCTTTTAATGCAGAAGATAAAACATTGCCTCCTTCCTTGAAAGAGATTAATTTTCTTAAAAAGCTGAAAGTAATCATGGCAGCAGGGACATCCAGAATGCATCCATCTGATTTTTGGTTTCATGTGTAAAGTCTTTACATTGTAAAGACTAGAAAAATATAATACAAGAGTTGGCATAACATCACATTTTTAGCTTCCCTGTACAAGAGGAGTATTGCCCAACTGGAGTGAGTTCAGTGGAGAACCATGAATATGATCACAGGGAAGACAGCAAGCAAGGGGAGGCTAAAGAAATGGGTTCATTTACACTACACTGAAGAAGAAAAGGGAGGTTGCTATCTTCAGCTAACTAATGTGAGGGCATAGAAAAGAGGAAGCCAGGCTCTCCTCAGAGGTACACAAAGATGAAAAACATACAGGGAACATCTGGAGTTCCAATGCAAAGAAGAAAATTAAAAAAAAAATCATACCATGAGTTTAGTCAAATAAGGGAACTGTGAGACTATGGCAGCCCTGTTCCTGGAGATGTTCAGTCTTTGGCTGGAGAAGATTCTGAACAACATGATCTATCCCTGAAGTTGGATCAAATTTGAAGTTGACTCTGCTTTGTTAGAGGTGGTGAGGAACAAATGGGTGACCTCCAAAGGCCACTTTCTGCATGAATTATTCAATGATTCTATGATGAACAAAACCTTACTTTTATTGCCTGCCTAGTAAGCACCCTTTCTTCTCCTAAATTGTTTCTTTATTACCATAGTGGAGTCTGTTTTCATTCTGGAGTGGGCTCTGAGCCATAGAGAAAACAGGCCAAGCAACATTTCTCAGTTACTTATCAAATTGATGAGAGAGCAATCCACCAGCTCTATTAAGGTCAAACCTTGAATCTGGTACTGCTTCTTGGTGTCCTTGACCAGGTTTCAGGATGCAGAGCTCAATTTATCATCGTCTCCAGAAAAGAGGGATCTAATTGTCTTTTTTCTGGCTCCAGGACCAACTCATATAATTGCACTAAAATTTTGCACAACTTCTCACAGTTTTCTCTCAGGAGATTTTGTACCTTTACCACCTGCAGCTTACTGTCTGCTGTAGCTCTAATCCTTCCTATTGACTGATTGTCAATCTACTAACTTGTGGAAATTGTGTAGACCAAACTTTCAGGCTGGAAGGTGTAAATACAGCAGCTTGCCCAAGGTGCTTTTGAAGCATGCCCCAACATGAGCCAGGCTGCTGAGGCTTTCATTCTTCCTGGTGTGATACACTGGAGGCCTGCACCATGATGGAGGAGGAAGGATAAGCACTCTCTTCATCAGCTACGGGAATATTTTGCTTACAGGTGTGGAAGTTACAAGTTAAGAATTGGACAACTTGTGAGTTAGAAGCCTCATGAATTAAGGAACGGATTAGTGAATTCTCCTCTAGTCTAGTCTGTACAAAGGGCACTGAGCCTTTGTTAGTTTCTTTTCCTAATGAGCTCATAAAATAATTTACAGACTGTGTTGTCCTGTAAATTAGAGAAATCCAATTTGGACCATGACAATCTTGGCTTCAGAGTACAGCAGCATTTCACTTTTGAGCTTTTGAAGATTCTGATAACTGAGGTTCTGTTATTTGCTGACCACATCAAGGGATGGAAAATATAAGCAACAAAACCTTTTTATAAGCTATTCCATGATGTTGACAAAGCCTGCACCTTCCTTCAGTAGCTCTAGAAAAACCTTAATTGCAGTTATCTTTTCTAACTATTGCAGCTTGCCTATTTTATACCGATGTAATGATTTATGCTAGTTTATAGCTTATCTGTTTAGTGCAACTGTTTTATATCCTAATTGTCTGTAGCATACAGTTAGTAACATGAGTTGGAGTATGGGATTCTGAAAGAGTAAGGTGTCAAATTTTGCCTTCTGTGACTTTTAGATTTACTATTTTTGTATGTATCTTAATGATGCATGTTGTCCTTCAAATATCTTTTTGAGATAAATCGTCCAAATAGCAGAGCTTCCATCAGTCCTCATTCATTCAGAAAATGTTGGTTGGTTTATTTTTGCCATCAAATGCAGATGGAGACGTTGACACCATTCCCCAGTGTGTAAGGCAAGTAGATTCAATGAGTTTACATTATTCTAACTCTTTTTTCATAGGGCATATTCAAGACTAGAAAGCTAACTGTTCTCAGTCAATATCCACATATAACATTTTAGTTTATAGTAGCCATTACAAGATGTGGTTGCCGCAATAACAAGGGACTGGACTTGGGGTTGGGGGGAATTTCTTCCCTACATTCCTGTGTGTCCTTCAGCATTTGGCACTCATATTACATGAGGAAAGATGTTGGCTTACCTACAAAAGCAGGAACTTTTGTTAATGATATTTTAATAGAGGTATTGCTCTTTTTTATGCTGATATCTAGTTTCATGGAAAAGAAAGAAACACCAGCGAAGTTGTAAAAGCTCAAGTAAATAATATGTTTGAGTCTCCTTGGCTAAAGTTAGAAAACATTAAAAACCATTTAATTTTAATTTCAGAGGTAAGTAGAGCTTTTATGTATTCTCTTTTCTCTGTGTCCTACAATCTGCATTTTAGTATCTTGCTGCTATTCTAGTTCATGTAATTAATTTACTAGGAAGAGACTGTGGCACATCACTGTCTTGTATAGGTATTCAATTCACCCTCTGTTTGCTCCTGTTATATTTTAAAATCCAAAGATTCATTATTTTCTCAGCTACAGTATACATCATTATTTATTTTCTGATTTTCCATGGGTGGTCCTTCATAAAACATTTTAGTTGAATTGGGTTAGGAAAAAAAAGCCCATCTGGCTGACATGTTTAGGTTGGCATCTGCAAAGAGTTGTATACTGTTCAATTGTTTCAAACTGGAAAAATAGAGAATTCTTTGTATATTTTGTGGTTACTTAACATTCAAAAATGCAAGTATTTTGAACTCTCTAAATAAAACTTCATTTCATCCCTTTCCAAGTTGAGATTCATTCTTAATCTAGCAAACATCTGAGCATTTTGAATTCAAAAGTCTTAACTTTTATGCTTTAGAAATTATTTAAGCTTCAGAAAAGTAACCAAGTTTAGGAAGAATGCTCACACTGGCTACTCATTTTGCATTGCTTATTTACAAAAAAGATGCATCCAGTCAAGGAGGGCATGATCTTATAAGCAAAGCAGAGGGTCTGGATCTGTTCTTGAGTGAAAGACTCTATATTCAGCCTGAAAAGAATTTGTCCAACCTTCCTAAGATAGACGGGTCTTGGGTAAAAATCTGAGTTTAATCCTCTTCTGAATCTCTGAAGAAGAACCTGAAGTTTAAACACTTGTAGTCTCTTTGGATTTGAAGCTCCACTACCAGTCCCTGTCAGCCTCTGTGAATTTGTGTCTCATCTTATTTTCTGATGAAGTGGTTTAATGGTAGTAAGGCTACTTGGGATATTCCCAAAGCTTTTCCATGCTTGTGTGATGGAGTCTGGCACACAAGGACAAGTAGTCCATATGTGTAGCCACAGTTGCAATCTTAGAGCCAGGGACACTCGAATGAGAAATGGGCAAGTGAATCACAAAACATGTAAGTCAAAGTCTAAATGAAAGATTACTTGGCAAGTAAAAAATATACAATGTCAAGCATTACCGGGGGATCCAGAATCTAACCATAGGTTTCTGTCCTGAGCCTAGGAACACCAAACCATTTCCAAAGACATAGCAGTTACAAAGGGAGAATTTGTTTTCCTGCCTACTTGCTCCTTTGGCAGCCCACTGCAGGCCCCCCTCCAGCTGGACCCCGAGGCTGTGTCTCTCTAACACTAAGCGTAGCTCCGGCATGATGGATGGGTCAGAGGACCCTTTCTACCGCCAGCCCTTCCCTTGGCAGCCCCTTTGCAGCCCCGCCCTAAGTGGACCCATAGGCTTCATGTCTCTCTTAACTATAAATAAGCTGAGCCTTGTAATGAGAAAGTAGTGCTTTTGCTAAGGGAAGGGGAAAAAGCCTGCCAATTCAAAGTTTGAGGAGGGTAAGCAATTTTTTTGCGAACAGGTTTCCAACTGAGTGTTTTAACTCCTTCACTTATTTTCTTTGTCAGCTGCGGGCGGTGCACTCAGTTTTCTTTCAAGCTGGGTTTTTATATGGGAAGATCCTGGTTAAATATATGGTGTAAAGAGTTCTCTGGAGTCTCAAGCTGCTTTTTCTTATTCCAGTGCTCTCACATGTCTTCTTCCGGTGCCTTGTGATTCATGTATGAGCTCATCTACATCGAGCAGAGCTGCTGCAACGAACAGTAAAAACTTTTTTTGGCATAAAGCAGTCAGAGTGAGTCAGCCATGCAACTGTGGACAGGATCAGTGACGGCCCGTGTGATAATTGCATACTGTAGTTAAGCAGAGGCGAAGAGGATGATGCATTAGTTCTTCTTGTGTTAGTTGTTCCCTCCTGAGACTGTTATTTTTGTGGGGTGGAGTGGAGAGAGATTGGAAGGGTTGGCAATATATCTACTGCCAAGTTACAAAAAAGTAACTACCAGCTGCCATCATCAAAGCAGCTACCGGATGTTGATCCCCTAATCCTGGCTAAACTCAATAGCAATAAAGGCAGTTATATTTTGTCTGCAGGACTATAGTTAGAAAAAAGTACAGTCAGAATCACTAGATTCGGATCTAAGGAATGCAGTGTTTATTTGGATGAATCTTCAGAAGCCACAACAAGGTACTGCACCAAAGCCACAGTGCTGGGCTGCCAGATTTTGGCATTCAGGACAGGGATAAAAATAAAAGAGCTCTGTCTTGCTTTTCTGCTATGCATTCTTGCTATTTCTTCAAGCAAACCAGGAGTTAGAACACAGTGAATACACTTACAAACAAAGTAAGCTGTGTTTGGGGTTCAGCAATGCTTATTGAGTAGTTTTGAGCATAGAGCCCATGGTAATGAATGGAAAGTTTTGATCAGGACATCTGTGGTCTGCCTAAATCATTTTGTTGGATCTGCAGTTCTTCCAGGAGCATCACTCGATGGCCCTATTAACCAGGGATGTTGGAGACTTTCTTTATTGTGTGCGTTCTCCAAGCACACTCATGAAGTAGGAGTCATCAATTTTTATTGGATAGAAAGCTCCGAAATGGCTTATGCAAGGACATCTGAGCCCTTAAGTTTACCCTTCACATTTATCCTGCTTCATTGGAAAAAAAGTTTAATGAGTCTGTGCAGACAATGAGAAAATGAATGTTGAGAGCATTGAGTCAGATGCTGGACTTCACTTCTAGCAAACATACTTTCAGTTCCAGCTTAACTGTACTTAACTCACAGAAGCAAATAGTTTGGGAATTTTTTTATCTATAAATTGCAGTCATGGCAATTCTGTGATTCCAACCTATTTTCTCGATGTTGCTCATAAGTGTGTGGTTATCCAGGGGAATAGTCAGTTACTGGAGGATGATAATTTTATCCTCTCTTCCCTGTGTACTAGAGGCAAGAGGAGTCTTTTTAAAAGACTGTGAACATCACAATAATTGCCAGCCCAAGAACCATTGAATGCAGTGCTGCCCTGTAGGTGGCTGCTATAGAGGTACTGAATTTTCACTTTAATTCTTGTCACTTTTGCTTTGTTTTCAAATATTCTGTTTTACAAATCATACATGATTGATAAAGCACTGTCTGAAATAATCCCAAAGGGGCTATTGGTCTGGTCTGGTCATACGTCCAGCCCCAGCAGTGACATGTTGTAGAAACAAAGTTGTTCTCCTGCCTTTTCAGTTCTGTTTTGACTTTGCTCTGTAATAAAGAGAGCATGGTCATGGTACATTTAAGAACTGGGTAAGAGCAACATATACATTACCATTACACTGCTTCTAGCTAAAGCTCCAAAACTAATATAGTGGAGAAACCTGGCTAAGAATTTACTGACAATTTTCTTTTGCCATAAGTTTAGCATTAGAAAAAAAATCCAGAACAGATGAAATGGCATAGCCTTTCGCTGAGTAAAAATAGACACATATATAATATCAAAGAAGACTTAGGAAAATATCCCATCTGGATTTTGAAAAATGTAGGAGGGAACAGAGTAAAGCAATTGTATTTCTGTTTATATTTGCCCTAGAAAATAGCCCACTTAGAAGAAATATTTAAGAATATGAATGATTGAGAGATTATCTCTTAGAGGCAGCAGGTATAAGATATAAGTCTGAAATTCCTTTGAGTTATAATTGCTGGTTAACAACAGGATTTTTAGGTAATTATTTCTATCCACAATGCAAAGGAATTTTAATGCATATGTGGAGAAGTTTTTAGAATTCACCTTTTTCTATGTTTACTTTGTAATAAAGAAAAGGCCATGGTATAATGAAAAAATGCCTAAAAGCAAATTTTTCTTTAATTACTATTCCAACGATAAAAAATGGAGAGCATTTTCTTAGAAAAATAAGATTTTCTATGTAAATGTTTGTTCTATTAATAAAATTAAATACAACAGCAAGAATCCATCTTTCTGATGGTAGACACTGAGTGTAGTGCTAGGAGGCAAGTGTAATTATTAACCCAGAAATATAATTCAGGATTTTTGTACTATGCAGTGATTTATACATTTTACATTTAACTTGTGACATAAAATATGTACGATATATATGAACCTAATCCAAGACCTAAATGCGAACAAAGCAAGCTCCTACATTGTCTAAGTTTGTTGTACTTCTAAATTTTATATTTTGGGTCTTTGGTTCTAGATACCAATATGAAATTACTCAGTATCTATTCTTTCAGAAGCAGTAAGGATGCTGAAATCCTACTGTCACAACATTGCTAAACAACTGTTCTTTTCAGGTCCTACAGTACAATAAGCATCATAAGCTGCTAGCAAAGGCAGACTTTTTAAGAGCAGCCACTATTCATCCTTTTACTTAATGTGATGTAATGACTTTTGTTTGATGACATGTTGAAATAAAGTAATGGCCTCTTTTTAAATGTAAATGCTGATTTTATCTATAGTTTATTTTTATTGTACTTTTCATAAATGTACTGCTGATGTGCATTAGAATAGAAGAAAATGTTTTAGGAACACTTGGTTTCATCCTAAACATTATTCAGATAATAAGTGACTATAACACACTGATAACCATTAAAATTCTAAATGTAGCAGAGATCTGGCATTACTTAGCTCCCTAACTCTCAGCCCCAAATGCACACACAACTGCAGCGTCCTTAAAACATTGTTTCCGTCTGTTGCTGTCTTAGGAGTTGATTACTGCACAGTTCTTTCTGTATCAGAGTGCAAGTCACAGTAATTCTGCTCAAAGCCATAGCTTTAAGTGACTGCAGTGTTTATGGAAGATATTTGCCCACGGGCTATACTCAGAAGATTCTGAATTAAGTAATGATTAATTAACATCTGTGTGTCCTAGTTGCCCATATGACAAGATGGTGAGGACAGGATATCGTGAGAAACAGAGACAGGGCTGTGCTTGGAAAAACTTTTAGGATGTTGATCACTCAGCCTGAGTGCAGTCATCATTCAGCTTGTTTTATGAACTGGCCCGGTTCAGTTACAGAGTAGAATTAAATATTCCTGTTTATCATATAAGCTGGAGTCATGTTTTAGTTTAGAGAAAACTCTTTTATTATTGTTCACTGATAAAGTTATATTTAGTGTGGAATCATGGGCTTATTTTGAAGATGTGATGACAACACTTATTCTGTGTCACTGTTGGAAGAGGAGAAACTTACTATCTTGATTAATAACACTTAGTTTTTTAATCTATGCCTATTGCAAACATTCTATTCTTGTTTAATGTTATTTTAGTTTTTTTCATTGTGTGTTTATCTTTAAAATAAATGTTAGCTAGATATGGCTCCAGAGAAAGTTAGCAAACATACATTTTTTCATAGAACTTCAGTTTCAGGACAGACCTTAAGAACTACTGTTAGTAAAATTTACTGCACTGAAAATTTTATAATCTCTGTTTTCTCATCCTTCTGCTCAAAAACC